GAACCCGCCACCTTAGGTGTACGTGGCTGGCACCTTAGCCGCTTGAGCCACAGGCGCCGAGCCAATGCCTGGCTATTTTTAGAGACAAGGTCTCACTCTGGCTCAGGCTGGTTTCGAACTCGTGAGCTTAAGCAATCCATCCACCTCAGCCTCCCAGAGTGCTAGGATTATAGGCATGACCACCATGCCCTGCCCCAAATTTAGCAGCTTAAAACAACAGGCATTTGTAGCCTCTCTGTGTCTGTGGGACAGAATCCAGGCATAGCTGCACTCAGGGTGTTGCTGGGCTGGGGTCTTCTGTGGAGTTTGGACCTGGGGAGGAGCTTCCCCAACCCCACATGGGTATTGGCAGGATTCTGTTTCTCATCCACTGAGGGTCTCAGCTCCTTGCTGTGTAAACATCCCTGCATCTCTTTTTTCAAGTCAGCAAGGAGAATCAGCTAGTGCCCTAGAGGCCACTGTTGTCTGTTGTCTGTTCAAGGCAGTGGGATCTACTTAACATGGAAGTGGTGTGTCAGTTGGATGCAAGTCACTCAAGGGGAGGGGACCATGGGAGGACTGGAACCCTTGAAGCCTGGACAATAGGTCTTAGAGGCCTGGGGGGGGGGTGTTGGGTGCCTAGGGAGGATGCTAGGGGGTCAGTCAGGGCCCTTTAGGAGGAATGTGGGTGGGCACAGATGTGTATATGTGTGTGCATGTTTTTCTGGAGGAGGCTCACATTTTTATTTAATTTATTTTTATATTTATTTGTTTATTTATTTGAGACAGAGTCTCATTATGTCACCCTCGGTAGAGTGCAGTGGCATCACAGCTCACAGCAATCTCAAACTCTTGGGCATAAGCTATTTTCTTGCCTCAGCCTCCCAAGTAGCTGGGACTACAGATGCCCACCCCATGCCCAACTATTTTGTTGTTGTTGTTGTAGTTGTCATTGTTGTTTAGCAGGCTGGGGCCAGACTTGACCTCGCCAGCCCAGGTGTATATGGCCAGCACCCTAACCACTGAGCTATGGGCTCCGAGCCAAGGAAGCTCACGTTTTTAGATTCTTTAGTTGTTCTAATAACTGGAGTGAGGCGGAGCTCAGCCATGGCCTTGACTGTGGCCTGCAGCATCCCTCTCCATGGCTGGCACTCCCAGTTAGCACTTGGGAGCATGCAAGGAGTTTCTTCTGATAGTCTGCTATACTCTCTTGGGGGAAGTTTCTATGAGCAGGATCCTGGGGCTTGTGGAGCTGGTCAGATGGGCAGTGGTCATTGCTTTCTTGTTTGTTTCTTTGCTGATAAAGTTGAATTTTTTCCAAATGTTTACTAGCATTTTTTTCTTTTTGTCAATTGCCTGTTCTTTTATTTGATTTCTTTTTTTTGTTTTTTTTTTTTGTTTGTTTTTTTTTCGAGACAGAGCCTCAAGCTGTCCCCCTGGGTAGAGTGCCATGGCATTACAGCTCACAGCAACCTCCAACTCCTGGGCTCAAGCGAGTCTCCTGCCTCCGCCTCCCAAGTAGCTGGGACCACAGGCGCCCGCCACAACGCCCGGCTATTTTTTGGTTGCAGCCGTCATTGTTGTTTGGCGGGCCCGGGCTGGGGATTCGAACCCACCACCTTAGGTGTACGTGGCTGGCGCCTTAGCCGGTTGAGCTATAGGCGCCGAGCCCTATTTGATTTCTTAAAGGGTGTATATAAATGATTTTACTATTGACTTGTAGAAACATTTTCTATTTTAGGGTCTGAACCTTTCGGCTCCCGTATTTACAAATTGTCCTAGTTTGCTTACTTTTAGTTTTTTAAATAATTTTTGGTGTGTAGAAGTATTTTATTGACTCTAGGACAGTTTGGGCTAGCACCCTGGCTAGACACTGCTGTGACCTTCACCTGTGTCTATGGGCCCCTCCCTCGGCCCTGTGAGTGCAGCTGGCTTCTGCACCTCCACGCCTGTGCCGACTTCAGCTCCACTGCACTCTGGTTAGTGGAGCCAGTCAGGCACTTTCTGATGTGGGCAGGTTTGGCTGCCTTGTAGCTCACACACAGTCAGCACTTCACTGCCGCAGGGCCAGGAAGAGCAGGTATGTTCTCTGCTTGCTGGAGGGATGCCTCTCACGTGCAGTAAGGCAGAGCCCCAGAACTCTGAGAACCTCAGAGCTTCCCTGACACTCTGGGGACCACTGACACTTTCCTGGATTCCTATATCTGGAATTCCCTGTGAGATAAAAATCATTCTGTTAATTTAAAACCAAAAAGGTCTGGGAACCTGTGATGTGTCCTTTTACATATTCTCTGTTCTGGGCCTGCCTAGCAGACCCCTGCGGGAGCTGGGCAGGGGGCGGGCATAGGAGCCAGAGGTCAGAGGCTAGGGTCTATGGAGACTGGGCAGGGGAGGAGGGAGCAGAAGGACCCGTCCCTGCCCAGATCATCTAGGCTGGAGTGAGAGGATGGGAGCACTTGTGTGGATCATTACCACGGGGCCAGGCAGACTGTGATTGTTGCCTAACACAAGGCAGAAAAGATGCAGGCTCTACCCCCAGGGGCCTTTTGGCGGTGTCTGGAGACACTTTTGGTGGTCACCATTGGAGACGCCACCAGCATGTGGTGGGAGAGGCTAGGGATGCTGCGTGTCTCTGGGGTCCCCACCTAACAGCCCAACAATCTGCTTAGAAGGAGGTGGCATGGCCCACCAGTCTTGGTCCTCAAAGTTCTTTAGGCCGTTGTTGGTCCTTTGGGCTTTGAAAGCTTTAGCATCAGCCTGTTGGTTTCTGCAGACCCTGACTGGTGACGGCGAGTGTGGCTGGTTGGAGGAGTCAGGCTCTGAGTCAGGAACACGGTTTTGCCCCTTCCTATCTTTTATTCCCTGCTCTGGTTGAACAGTGAATGTTCACTCTGCATGCTGGGGTATTGTTCTGCTACCCATTGCTGGTTTATTGTTTGTTTTCAGAATTCTTTTGCTTTTTGAGTTAGCTCACCTTTCTTTGACCTTGAAATGCACGGACATCTGCTCTGATTGCCTCTCAGACCTGAAGAAAATTGAAAGCAAGGTAAGTGGCTTAATGACGACTCTGCCTAACAGCAGGGGCCCACTGCGTGTCTGGGCCGAAAGCAGAGAAGGGAAGAGCAGCTGACAGACTTCCACCCACAGGGCCCCTGTGTGTGTGGTCTGCAGACTGCTCCCTCCGTTACAGGTGCACTTTGTGTGGCTGTGAGTATGTGGGTTTTGTGGTTTTGCATTGGCTCCTTTCTCTTGGCCTTGGTGGCAGGACTGGCCCATCTTGCCACCAGCTGTCTTTACAGCACATTAAAGGCTGCATAAAATTTCATAATGTAATGATCCGTAACTCACCCCGTCCCCGTTACTGGGCATTTACATCATGCACGGCGCCCTCCCTTGTCTGTGGTTTCAGTTATCCACGGTCAGCTGCAGGCTAAAAACATTAGGACACTTTGAGAGAGAGAAAAACCATGTTAACATAACTTTATTGTAGTACATTTTTGCAGCTATTCGATTTTATTATGTTATTATTAATCTCTTACTGTACTAATTTGTAAACTAAATTTTATCACAGGTGTGGATATATAGAAAACCCGTAGTTTATGTAGAGTTTAGTGCTACTGGGGTTTCAGGTATCCACCAGGGATCTTAGAATGTAGCCCCTTCAGATAAGGGGGGAACC